TGTCTGCACGCACAGCTGGTATCCCCAAACCCACTCACTCTAGCCCTCCTGTCCCTGAACTGATTCCCCTGACTGAAGCGCTTCCCTTGATGGAGATCGCTCTATGGTGTGTTTGGGCTGCATACACCACCACAGAACCTCCCGAGGTGGAGACGCTCGCTTCAGCTCCTTGCGTGGTGGTGGCGCCCAGCGATGCACTCTCAGCCTGTCGTGTTGCGGTCGAAGAGACCGTTACTGACTTCTCCATGTTTCCTGAAGTTACTGCTGTAGAACCTCCGGAGGTGGCGGCAACCGCTGCAGAACCTCCAGAGGTGTCAGTGGTATCCATTTACAAACTCTCTGCCTGCCCAGCCACGGCCAAGGAGGCCGTTTATGAGTGTCATCACGTTCTATTAGTTCTACAGCTTCAGTTTCGGAACTTTCACGCTTAGTAACACATACAGCTGTTCCCTCACCACCGTGCAACAGTGAAAAGGGACCCCTTTCAAACAGTGTCGCGTTCCGAACATTGTTTAAGCGACATACACCGGTATTGCGGTATTTTAAAAATTCATATCATAACAAAATTAAACACTGGTATTCGTGTTTTGTTTGTACCTCCTTGGACTCCACCATATTTTAGACCCTCATGGTCGTCTGATGTTAGGAGAACTTCACTGATGCCTCTTTCTTGGAGAGCCTGGAAGAAATTGAATTAAAATCGAGAAAAAGCATGACATCGGAGTTTGGAATGTTTATTCATACTGTACCTCTTTGACAAATGACATGTAGTTTCCATCTCTTGCATGTGATCCATATTTGTTCTCCACTTGAACGGCAATGATAGGCCCACCTTTCTTAAACTGACATCATATAAGGCCAACATCAAAGATCACTCAGAGTACGTTTTTTTTAGCACTTCTTGTGTTTCAAAAAGAATCCTACCTGGAAAGACACCACTTTGGGAATGAGCTTATCGAAGTACACGTTTACAGCCGCTATGAATCCTGGGTAAGTGGTTCGCAGCATCATCTCTCTATCACGCAAAAGCCAGCTGAAGAGGGAAGTGGTTTGTTTGTGGTGAGAGAAGTAGAACAAATTTCTCTTTCTGTGTGATGTTAAACTTGACATTGACAGTCCACTTTAGACATTCTGCTTGCAACTAACTGTCATTAGAATATTAGTAGACTGGTAAGTTAAGGTTAGTAGAAGAAGTTGACATGTACTTGTAAAGACTGCTTAGGAGAATGTCTGTTGGAGGACCATCTGTAAGCAAATATTAAGCAGACAGACTACTAATACTCTAATGACTGGTGGTTGGTATGTAGTTGCAAAGTTAGTAGAATATCTAAAGTGGACTACCAAAATGAAGACACACCGGATATCTAACTGTAGCTCTTTGTAACAGGTTTTTTTTATTCCCCTCATGACATGCATTACCACAAAGTGTGGCACATCATTTTGGTTTGAATGCTGCCTTTGCATGCTGCCTCACAGTTTTTAATCACATCTTCTCTGGAATTTGCAGGACACGACTTGAAAGTTATGCTACAGTAGAGCCGTTTATATTTCATTCAATGGCAGAAATCACCTGGGCAGTCCTCCAAGGTCAAGGTCAGAGCCTATGTACGGTCCTGGACGTAAAATTACCCAGAGTCCCACCTCTGCAGCCAAGTGAAGAAAACTTCTGTGAAATGGATGGGCAAAAAAATGAGACACCTAAAATGATCAGATAGAAGTCAAAGAATTATAAATAAAGTATTAAATGAATAGTTAAAATAAACAAATAAATAAATATTTGAAAGTCGGAATTTGTAAAGAAACAAAAGAAACTTAATTATTGCCATTTGAATAATTAAAGCATTTAACAAAATAAATAAAATAAATTCTATAAATATTGAATGAATATAATATACAAATATTAATTTGTAAAGTGAATTATTTAAAAATTAATTATTGCCATTTTAATAATTAAAGTATTTCACTAACTAACTAAACCAATCAATCTATACTTGAAAGCTGGAATTTGTAAAGAAGCATGGTTATTTTTTTAGAAATTAATTATTGCCATTTTATCTAAATAAATAAATAAATATTTGAAAGTTAAAGAAGCACCGTTAACTACTTAAAAATGGATTATTACGATTTTAATAGTTGTAGCGTCTGGACCAATCAGACACACCATTTTTCATTTGATTTAACAAATCAATTATTCATTAGATTAACAAATCGTCACAGTCCCCTCACTCAATAAACTGGATGCCAGGATTTCTGCAGAACACCAGGCCCCCTGGTCACCATGACAACTAATCATGATATCACTGGTTTTATGACCCCCCCCAGGAATGTGAGTAGAATAACCCACTCATTGTCCCCATAGGAAAGGCAGAGTAGAAATGGACTTTTCTACTAATTAATTCATAGGAAAACCTTTCTTTGAATGAACACACATCATCCTTCAGGTCATTGGGTATATTATTGTCATCGTGTATTTGGTCTTTGAAATTGTATACTGTTATGCAGACTTATAATCGAAACACCCTCCTGTCAGCTTACATATATATATCTTTAGTATCTATAGTATCTATGAATTCGCCTTCTGATGATCGAAACGAGCGTGTATATTATATGTTGGTACATATGCAATATATTAGTGTCCTGAGAATCTTTAGTAATTTCGATTCAAGTTCCATTTGCAAATTACCATGCCCTCACACAAAGGGTCATAAAAACTCCCCAGTATCTCAAAACTCCCACTTGGGATACCGGCCTTTCTCATTGGACAAGCCCATCTTGAGAGGCGGGGATCTTCTCCGACCTTAAAGGCCCACACCAGGGACCCTCCCCTTCTGTTAGGTCTGTTAGGTTTCGATAAGATGTGAGTTCCAATGCTCCAGGACATCCTAAGTTTTTGTGCCGCCTCGACTTTCTCGACTTTTCCACTCATCAAGATTCTCTGACTCAAAACTGGTTCTTTTCATCGACCCAAATTCAGCAAAGATCAACTGGAAACTTCAGATTACATCAAACCTCTCTTTCAGACAGATGAGACTTGCAAGTATCCAAACTTAGTCTTATTAATTGATACATTAGGTATCATTTTCACCTTTTTACAAAGGTGTGTTTAAGAAAGAATCTGATGTTTCCCCTTCAGGCTGTAAATCTGCTGAATATGCAAATGGTTCTATAACTTCATATTCCTTATTTCTCTTCTCTTTACTGCGTTAAGCTTTTAACCCTTTCCTATACCAACTGTATGCGTGTGTGTGTGTGTGTGTATGTGCATGTTAGACCAGCTTAAGTGTGTATATGTATGTTAGACCAATTTAAGTGTTTATGTGTATGTTAGACTAGTTTAAGTGTTTATGTAGTTAATAAAACCTTACTTGTATCACACTTGACGTTGTTCATTGTTTGCTAATAACTGGAGTCACTTAATCATGCAGATTTATGCTACAAGCTTTTGTAGAATTGTACAGTAAGAAAGTTATTTCCCTTAACCAGGAAATTAACGTTCTTAGAATTGACAAGACAGTTGACCCTGAGAGGTCAAGTAAATATCTACAGCGGATCTAAAATATTCATAATGAATTATAACTAGTTATGATTAATTATTCATATTTCCCATGAGCTGATTCGTTACATGGCAGTTCCCACTGCAAAGAAAAAAAGAGACTTCAGTTTATTTTTAAAACATATTTCATTCAATAATGTTAAACTACAAAATAATGACTTTATATTAGTGGGGAATACAACATATAAAGACCGTTTGCAAGAGTATTGACATTTGAGAGGTAAAATCTTTTCATAATTATCTTTCTGCTGGCTGCGCATTAGGTGTTTTTAAAAGCTTGTAATATTATTTTGAAAATGCCCCTTTTAATGGGTTATTTTGTTTGCTTGGTCAGCTAGATATGTTTATGCCTGATCCTAATGGGGCACTTTACAGCAACCTGAGAATGAACAAAAGAGCTGTGTGGTGATCAGAGCTCACAAAATATCACTTTATTGGAAAGTCACAGACCGCACGAGAGACATACTGACACTGACATTTACATTAACTCTCTGCTAGAACAGGATCCATTTACACAACAGAGCCACACTTTGCAATGTGGTTTGGGCGAGGTATTAATCCTTCAGGGAAGATCTTCTCAAAGTGGAATCCTCATTGACTAACAGAATTTGTAATGCAAACTGAAGGGAAAAAAACATTCTGGGAACTGCTGGGGAAAAAAGTTCTGAAAGCAATTCAGTCAACTGACCCTGTTGAATGACTGGTCACCAGTATGCATTGTGTTTTTCCATGTTAGGAGATGATGGTGTGCTGGTGCCCAACTAGAGACTCAGAAATACCATGCTTGGTGAACAGCTGAAGAAGGGTTGTGCAAAACAGGGGCATTTCTATCTATCTATCTATCTATCTATCTATCTATCTATCTATCTCTCTATCTATCTATCCATCCATCCATCCATCCATCCATCTATCCAAATTTTGTAGTTTTGCAATTGCAGTTATTTTTTTGAATTTTTTTCATTCCAGCTCCTTATATTCAAACTTGACTTGCAATTTAGCATCCTTTTAGCAAATTTTAAACTTATTTTAAATTCTGAAACTGAACTGGAATTTAAATTCAATTCTGAATCGAACCACTAATACTCAAACACTTTATGTAAAATCAAAGCAGCTCCAAAATGGGTACAGCTTAATTCACTGTAATGGTTACAGTAATTAAATCATTCTACTTTTTTATTCCATTTGAATATTCCCACTGATAAAGAAATCTGCGTGAGACTGTTAAATCATGAAATAGCCTGAATCAGCATGGAAATTTGTTCATTCTGGAAACTGGTTGACATTGTTGGCTTGACTTGCTGCCATTGTTAAAGTATTTTACTTTAAATAAAATTCCAGCATATGAGCTAGATGATGTCTTTAAGTGCACGATAATTGTATCACACCATTTACACTGTGCTGGATGCTTACTGTAGAGTCTGCTGTAAAATTACCTCTGTAAATCTGTTTTATGATTACTATTATCACTTGACCAAGCTCAGCAAAAGTAACATGATCGCACCCAGATCATCCTGGATTATTATTATTATTATTTTTATTTATTCTAAAGAAAAATTTTGAATTCTTCGGCTGTCCTTTATTCACTTCAGTTCTATACAAAGCGCTGGACATCCTCGCCACCCTGACGCCTCACACATCTAGGCAAAGCTGCTATAGCCAGGGAAGATGAATCATACCTTAACACTGACTGGAGATGAAGACAGCCAAACTGAATTAGATTGTTCTCTTCGTCATAGGGTGTACTGAATACATGTATTTTTAGCTGCTGGAAGTGTGAAGGGGCAAACAGGAACTAAACAGAAACAAACACGTGACAGATATCGTGTGGCGGATCAGGGAGCTCCGGGAGCCATGGCGGAGCAGGCAGTTCAGGATGCCATGGCGGATCAGGGAGCTCAGGGGACCATAGCAGATCAGGCAGTTCAGGTTGCCATGGCGGAGCGGACAGTTCAGGAGGCCATGGCGGAGCAGACAGTTCAGGTTGCCATGGCAGTTGTCCCGGCAGTTGCCCGACCCCCCCCAAAAAGGTGTTGGGGAAAACTAGGAATCTTGGGGGGGTGCTCTGGAGGAGCAGGCACTAGAGGACGCTCGGGAGGAGCGGGCTCTGGAGGGCACTTTTGAGGAGCGGGCACTGGAGGGAGCTAAGGTGGGCGTTTTCGAGGAGCCGGCTCTGGGGGGCGCTCTGGAGACGAAGGAGGGCTGGATGGGACCAGCGGAGGCGAAGGAGACTCAGGAGACTCAGGAGAGCTGGACGGGACCAGTGGAGACGATGGAGACTCAGGAGACGAAGGAGAGCTTTCTAGAGCAGATTCTGGGGTGAGGATTGGAGCCGAAAACTCCGGAGGCAGCGCCATGTCCAAGAGCGTAGAGCCAGCAGCGGCCGGCGGGCTTGAGTCAGCGGCGGCCAGCGGGCTTGACTTCTTGGCGGCCGGCGGGCTTGAGTGAACCGTGGCCGGCGGGCCTGACTGATGATCGGACGGCCGTCTTGACTTCCGAGCGGCCGGTGAGTGAAACTTCGGAGCGGCCGGCGCTCCTGAGCTGAGGACTACGGTGGAGCTCTGGAGAACACGAGGGATGTCTCGGTTTGGGCAGGTGGTCGGAGTCGTTGGCGAGGTATGTGGGGGTTCCTGGCGTGAGGTGAGCTGGGGAGACACGGCTTGTTCCAGAGGGGGCTGGACGAGGAGACTTAGAATTTGTATTGACTTCCTCCACCTCGAAGTCGGAATTATTTAAATAGAGGACGAGATTAATCAGCTCGATCAGGGGAAATTCACACGTGGGGCAGCGGATTATATCATCATCCAGCCCCAGCTGGAAACACGCACCAAGTGAAGAGTCGCGCCTCGTTGGAAAGGGCAAGGAATTCCTCCACATATCTCCCCAACGTCTGACCACTCTGCCGCAGCGCACACAGCTTGTCCTCAATTGTTTTCATCTTTGTCTGTAATTGGTGTTGGATTCTGTCACGTGGTTGTGGTTGTAGTGATGGCGCACGACAAGGAGTAGAAGTAAGGAGTCTTTAATCAACATCAACACACTAGGACCATTGAAAGTAACGTTAATCCAACACAAAGAACATCTAGAAACTGAAGACTTATAAA